CGGGGTGGGTTGCTAAGTTTGTGGGAGGGTGGTGGGAGGTATGTAGCTTTGGCTGTAGGGGTGGGGGGAGATGGGGGGAGTGTTGGCGGGTGGGAGTGGGTGTTCTGTGACTGACCGACTCTCTGTTTTTCTTTTCTTTCTGCTCTCTGACACAGACTCGCCCCCCCAACCCCAACCCCAACCCCCACATCCCCACCCAGTGCCCCAAGGGTCGAGAACCACCTTACGATGAGCGATGAAGTCCGCCAGGAAACCGGCCCCCACCAGCCCCTCAGGCGGCAGCAGCAGGTCTCCCCCGGCAGGGCGGCATAGGGGCATGAAACGCCGGAACGGGGAGCAGGCGGCAGAGACACCGACGGGCACCGCATCGGCGAGGAGAGCGGGCCAGGGCAGGCAGGAGGGCCGCGCCAGGGGCACCCCCGAGGGAGGAGATGTCCCGGCCCAGGGAGAGAGCCGGGCGGCCGGGGAGGCGGGCAGGGCCGAGGGGGCGGTCTCCAGCCGCAAGACCGCCACCTTCAAGTCGCGGGCCCCCCGCAAGAAACCGGCGGAAGAGCTGCTGGGCGCTGACGGGCGGGACGACTCCAGCAGCAACGGCAGCGAGGGTTCGGTGGGGCCTGGCATAGCCCCACCGGCGAACCCCACCCCCGCTGTCCCCCAGGGGCCGACAGAGGGGGAGGGGGAGCAGCCCTCACGGTGTCCTGCGGACCCGGCAGAAGACCCCAGTGCCGGTGCCAGCTCCTCTGGCACAGAGACGGCGAGTGAGCACTCTGCTGATGGTGAGGAGGAGGAGGAGGGCGAGGGCGAGGGCGAAGGGGGCGGCCTGTCCCAGTGCCTCCAGGCGCAGCGCCCCACCTCCCAGCGGCACTGCCGACGACGCTGCCGCGACCCAGACCCTCCGCCCACCTCCGCCACCGCCTCCACTACCACCTCCACCTACCGAGGGGGCTCCTGGGCCTGCCCCGAGGCCGGTGCCCCTCCCCCCGCCTCCTCCCTGGCCCCCGGCTCCCGGGTCTGCGTCCGCTACCCCGGCCCCCGCCCCTCCCCATTCCGGCACGGCACGGTGACGGAGATCGGGCGCGGTGGAGCCGCCCCTTACCGGGTCCTCTTCGACGACCGGGAGGGGGCCTGGGTGTCCCTGGAGGACCTGAGGCTCCCTGCCCGCGGGCCCTCCTGGCCCGACGGTAGCGGGGGGCCCCCGTCGCCCACTCCCGCGCCCCCCCGCCAGCCGGAGGACACCGAGGTGTTGACCCTGAGCCTGGGCATTGGCCAGCACCAGCAGCAGGTGGCAGTGAGTGGGGGGTCGGGCAGCGCCCAGGAGGGGGGCAGCACCAGTGGGGGAAGCAGCAGCAACTCCCTGGACAGTCGGCTGACCCCGGGTCCCCGCTCCCGCACCCCCCTGGCGCCCGTGGGCGCGGCGGCAGCAGCCCAGCAGAAATACAAGAAGGGGGACGTTGTGTGCACCCCCAACGGGATCCGTAAGAAGTTTAATGGTAAGCAGTGGAGGCGGCTTTGCTCTCGCGACGGCTGCATGAAGGAGTCTCAGCGTCGCGGTTACTGCTCACGCCACCTCTCCATGCGCACCAAGGAGCTGGAGGGCGGAGGGGGGGGCATGGCGGGCTCAGACGGGCGGGCCAGTGGCCTGAGGGAGGGCAGCTCAGAGTTCGATTGGGACGAGACGTCCCGGGACAGCGAGGCCAGCAGCGCCCGCGCCGACTCCCACCCCAGGCTGCCCACATCTGCTCCCGCCGCCCCGGCCTCCGACCTCTCCAGCTTCAACTCGGACGAGTGCGATGCCGCCAACATGCTGGTGTCGCTGGGCAGCTCCCGTTCGGGGACGCCGGGGTTCTCGCCCGTCTCCAACCAGTCGCCCTTTTCCCCCGCCCCCTCCCCGTCTCCCTCGCCCCCCTTTGGCTTCCGGCCTGCCAGCTTCAGCCCCATCACCGCCTCCCCCGTCCTGCAGCGCGGCGGGGGGGGAGGAGCCGGGTGCCCGGGCCCCGGCCCTGCTGCCCTCCCTCCCTCCTCCTCATCCTCTTCCTCCTCCTCCTCCTCCTCCTCCTGCGCCTCGTCCGCCTCCTCGTCCCGTCACCGGCACGCCAGCACTCCCAAGCTGGGGTCGCTGACCCCCGAGCTGGGGCACGGCGCCCCCTCCCACCCTCACCATCACCCCCACCACCCTCCGCTGAGAGAGCGCCACTCCTCGGGCATCCAGCCCACCTTCCAAACCAGCCTGACCTTCACCGTGCCCATGAGCCCAGGCAAGGGCAAGGCCAAACCCGACTGGGGGCACGGGGCCACCCCCCAGCCGCCTCACTCTGCCTCCAGTGACTACCACAAGGGTGAGGTGGGGGAGACGGGCGCCCCCTCTGCCTCTGCCGCCTTCCAGGCCACCTCTCCCCCGGCCGGGCACTTGCCCCGCTTGCGCCAGGTCTCCCCGCCACCGCCACCGCCGCTGCTCCTGCTGAGCCCGCCTGCTGCCGTGACCTCCGACCCCTCCGTGCGCCGAGTCCCCGCTGCCCAGCGCGACTCGCCGGTCATCGTCCGCAACCCTGATGTGCCGCTGCTGCCTGCCCGCTTCACCGAGAGGGCCCTGGGGGTGGCTGGAGTGGGGGGAGGAGGTGGTGGGGGGGGCAGCCCCCGGGTGAACAAGGGTTCCGCCAAAGAGCACTACCGGCACCCGGCCGGTGGCAAGGCCCCGCTGCAGGCCCCTGTGCCCATCAACGCCAACCGCATGGCCCGTGCCGCCTCCCCTGGCCAACCAGCTGGTGGGCTCGGCGCAGCAGCTGCCGCCCTGACTCCCACCCGCCAGGATCCTCCCATCCAGCCTGTGGCCTGCCACCCATCACCGGCTGCCCTTCTGCCTGTCATCGTGCCGTCGCCCCTCGGAGAGTTCCAGCACCCGGCCCCGAAGAAGGAGATCATCATGGCGCGCCCCGGAACAGGTACGGAACCGTCCAACGTCCTCTCTCTCTCGGTCTCTCACACTCACTCTCTCTCTGTCTCTGTATCTCTCACTC